GTACAGAGTTACAGTTCCTATATTGCTCACTCAGTATGGACACATGGTAAAAACTGTTCAACCTCAGAAATTGAAGGACAGGACTTCATGGTCATTATTTCATTTCAGACCGAGTGTGCTTGAGTATAGGCCCAACGCAACAATAAAATGAGTCACTGTTGCAATACTTACAACAATGTAGAAGAATATTTATTTAAGAACATACAGTATATGTTCTGATCTGGTGTTGTATTGATGTTCACTTGTAGTAACCAACAAGGACAAGAAGTCCTTATAGTGATAAAAAAAAAATTTAATTTGAACCCTATTTACAACTTGATGAGAAACTGGGAAACTCTATCTGCTTATGAGGATCATGTGATATGATTGAAAGCTCCGGACCAGCTACTGAATGGACCTAGTGGTGAGATTGTTGAGGTCAAGAATTAACTTTTGAAGTTTGTCACAGGCTCTATAAAAAGCAGCAAAAAGCAGACTGAGAAAATAATATTGAATTGAGATGATTGCAAACACTTCCACACAGCTGGATCACATTAGTTGTAATACCAGTCTACAGCAGCTATTTCTCAAACCCTTGCACATCATCATATCTGTCAGTAATTTCAAACTGAGGCCACTGCTTCTCTTTGAAAAGCACTTAGTCTGTTTATGCTGTCATGACTCTTCTTGAAAAATAAATGTAAAACTCTGGAGCTCTATTAGTTTTCTCATGTTGCTTGAAAGACTCACATCCCACAGTGGTGATTGTCACTGTTAATTGGCATTTGTCTAATACGAGCCCCCTTTGTAGCAGTGTTTATGTAGCGGTGATTGTGATTAAATAATTGTGATTAATTGCGCCCTAAACCACCATTTATTTTGCGGTTTAGTGCTCTTTTACTTAACAAGATCCAGCTGGAATAATACCTCATCTTGTCAGTTTTACAAAGCTGTTCATTCAATGCTTAGCTCTTAGCTTTAAATGGTACCAACCTTAAATGTGTGACGACCTGAATCTTAACATCGAGAGCTATAATCCTCTGCCTGAGGCCTGCCGGTTTGTGAGGCCCTTCAGGGAGATAACATCCCACAACAGGCAGTCACACAAAACACTGAAGGACACCTACAGACAACTGTTACTGTTTCCTTTATTAATGCTGGTTGGTTTTCTTATATATATATAAAAAGAAATTCAAGATATCTCCAATTTGGCATTACAACTAGGAAGCTTTCTGTGTTTCTGTTGATACTATGTCTTGTCCTGTAGGTCACACATGTGTTTCCAATCACTGTCTCCTTACATATCTGCTCAGGCACTATGTTTGATGTGCATGAGGTCACCTGACTCCATGTGCTAATCACAGTTTTATTTTGTCCCGCACTAAGTGGTGCAACCAAGCTAGCAGGAGAGTCAGTGACATGTCAGTCAATGTCATACTAAATACGCCCCCACACAGTCTTAGAGGAGAGTGTGTCTGGAATCACTCCCTTATTCACTATGCCTTATATAACAGACACTCACTGGTTTATTCTATAGCGAGCACAAAATCCAGATATTAAATCGTTTTGCATGAGAACCGACAGCTACAGAATCACACGACTGTATTTTTTGCACCAGTAAAATGCATCACATTGCACTGTGGGATTGTTAACAGAAAGTCCTGTACAGGTCATCAACCCTATTTGTTTTATATAAAGAGCATACATTTCACAAATGGGGACAACAGACATGGTGAATGCTAAATGGACTGTGCTTGTATAGCGCCTTTCTAGTCTTCCGACCACTAAAAGTGCTTTTACACTACATGTCACATTCACCCATTCACACACATTCATACAGTGATGGCAAAGGCTCATTACAAATGCAGTCATACACATTCATACACTAATGCACAGCATCAGGAGCAAATTGGGGTTTAGTATCTAGACAGAAATCCTGGCCAAAGACAGGTTTGTGACACCTTGTGTGATTGTTGACATTTTTGTGCTACATTATGACAAAACCTGCATAGAAATAAATTAACTTACACACACAGCAATTATATGCTCTACCCAGGCCTGCAACAACAACACAACAAACAGCTGAGACACAGCATGGTGAAGCCACATTGAGCGAGCTTGCTGCAATAAAAAAAACATTCAACAAAATTGCAAAAGCACCAATTTTCCTCATTTCATATATAAGAACATTTCACCCAAAGCGGAAACAGTGCAACCGCAGAGAAAACCCGTTTTTGAATAGGAGCCACTTAGATTAAATTGACACAATGCAAAAGCAATAAACAAAAAGACAGACTAACAATTTGAAGTTTACTCTCCGTCTCCCAGCTGGAACAAACTCAAGCAGAACAGCAGCAAATATGTTTAAGTGCCAAGAAAATGTTGACAAGGCAGTAACCTATTAGACTGCAAGAAACAAAGTCAGCAACAGCAGTCATCAGCCTGAAATAATTCTTCATCAAACACCTGAGAGTTCACTGCCGTCGGATCCTGTCAACCCAAC